GCCAACATTGCAAAAGTTAAGGCATCGCATACTTTTGTCTTCTTTCGAATGTCTACGTTCTTTACCTTATCCTTTAGTTTTATACCTAGGCAGCTTCTTTCCATTCTTCTCTAGGTAGACTGAATTTTGTTCCTGGTTTTAAGATCGAAAATCCAAGTTTGGCATCCATAGGTGAGGCACGGTAGAAGTCCTGTATCCATGACTACTTTCTTGGTCTGTAGCGGAAGTTGTGATTTTAGTATTTCCTTATGGTGCCAAAACTTGTTCCAGGTAATCGCCACTCTTCGGTTTAGTTCTTCAGTACGTCTTTCCTTACTAAAGGAAATTTGTTTTCCTAAGTATATGTAGTGATTGACCCACTCTAGAGGTGTGTTATTTATAAAGATGGGCGTTGTCCTGCGGTTAGTCATAATTTTTGTTTTATCTAGATTCATTTCCAAACCAATTTTTGTACTAACCTGGTTTAATTCATTTATCATTTTATTTAATTGGTCAGGGGTTTCCGAGAGTAAAATTATGTCATCGGCAAATCTGAGATGACTTAAAAAAACTCCATTTATATTAATACCTTGTTTGGACCATGTCAGCTCTCTCATTACGTTTTGTAAGACGGCTATGAATAATTTTGGTGAGATCGGGTCTCCTTGCCGGACACCTCTCTTTATGTTGATTACTTCGCCTACTCTATCCAGTTTGACTCTACTTGTGCTGTTAGAGTAAATATTTTTTAGGATTTTGATATACTTTTCATTTATGTTTATTGCTTTCAGCGATTCCCAGATACTCTCGTGTGAAATTGAATCAAAAGCTTTTTTATAGTCAATGAAAGCTAAGTACAGGGTTTGTTAAATTCTAAATATTTTTCAATCACCTGGTCAACCACTTGGATATGATCCATCGTGCTGAAACCGCTTCTGAAACCAGCTTGTTCGATCGGTTGGTGAGCATCGATTACTGGGGCTATTCTTTCGAGTAGACTGGAAGCAAAAAGTTTATAAAAACAAGATATTAGGCTTATAGGACGATAATTGCCTATATCCGCTGGGTCACCTTTTTTATATAATAGTATAATATCCGATGTCTTCCATTGCATTTTTCTGGCTTGAGTCTCGTTATTTGTTTTAATATTTCATTTTCTGTAAGCTGGTATATTGGAGAGGTATCTGTGGAGCTATAGGAACCCATGTTTTGATACTGTGTGTCTGATTGTCTGTATAGATTAGCGTAAAAGTCAGTTGCCGCATTTATGATTTCTGTGCGAGATTTGCATTTGTTGTCGCCAGACTTGAGAAAAGGAACTCATGTTTTGGCTTGGTTTAGCTCTTTATGAGCTTTTTTGGCAGATCTAGTATTATTGAGGTGTTTTTGAATAATCGTTGTTCTATAGGTGGCGTAGCATCTTTTTATTTCTTTATTGGTAAGTTTGTACAAAGTTTTTAGCTTTTCTTTGTCAGCAACGCTTAATTTAGGCTTATTTTGTAGTTCGCTTCTTTCTTTCATAAGTTCAAGCGCTTTCGCGGATAAGATTTTGTTCTTATGTGTTCCTTTAATATTTTTTAGGCTTATCTGGATGTAGCGCATGATTTGTTGGTAGTACTCCTCTACATTAAAGTTGTTTTGATTCTTTATAAGTGCTGGTATAAAGTTGTAGAGGTTTGTAAGGTACCTTTCCTGCTCCGCTGGAGTTTTTAACTTAGTGGATGTATTAGAAAAATTACGCCTACTTTTCTTTGTTGAATTTAGGTATAATGTTGCTCTTAGTAGTCTGTGGTCCGATCCGAAAGAAAAAGATGGCAGTACTTCGTATTTAGAGATCATGTGGTGCTTCGTGGTCATGATATAATCAATTTCATTTCGTGTGTTTTTATCTGGAGAGATCCATGTCCATCGGCTTTTTGGTTTAAGTTTGAACATTGTATTTACAATTTTTAAATTGTACTCCTGCGCGTATTGAATTAGTCTCGTGCCTCGATCGCTTCTGATACCGTAACCATACTTTCCTGTAGCGGAACGTTCGTACTTTTCTGGAATTCCAATTTGAGCATTAAAATCTCCTATAGAAAATACGTACTTTGTAGATGTGGAATCATGAGCTTTCGCTAGGTCCTCATAAAAACAGTCTATTTCTTCCTGTGATGAGTTTTCAGTGGGGGCGTACGCTTGAATTACTGCAAAACAAAGGTTTTCCATTTTGATTTCCATTACACACACTCTTTCAGATATTCCTGTAAATTTTATGATGTTATCTTTGTGTTTTTTCCTTACTAGAAAGCCTACTCCATACAGTCCTTTTGTTTGTCCAATGTAGTAGAAGATGTATTCGTCGTCTTCGATTATCTTTTCTCCTAGGCGGCGGACTTCACACAAACCTATTATGTCATGCTTAATATCTTCTAGTGCAGCTTTGAGCTCTATATATTTTTGATCTGTATATAATGATCTTACGTTGCGGGTGCAAATGTAGACAGTATTTTTCGCTTTGATATTTGTTCTTGGGGGGTTTTGGTCTAACTCTCCCGCGGTGACCGGCCGTACTGGGAGATTAGGGGTTAGAAGAGGGTCCGATTTTGATTGCTATGCTGTGTTGTGGTCTGATGTCTTCGATTGGCGTTGAGTTGATTCTGTCTGAGCGAGAATCAGTTTGGGCTTCTGTATTATATAATTCTTCATGTCACCTTTATTTTTCTTAGATGGTTGCTTATTATTTTGATTGACAGGGTGGAGCTTCTCCGGGGACTCTGATAGGTTTCTTTTATTTGGCTGTTTCTGTGGGGGTTTTTTGTTGCCCAGTATAATAATTTTGTCGTATTTTATAAAAGCGGTGTTTCCTGCATCTTTTTCTTTTTGTAATTGGACTTGTAGCTCTTTACGTTTATTTAGGACTTCGATTGGGTAGTCTTCTTTTAAGTAATAGGAAGTATTTTTAAGGTAATGTTTATTTTTTTGAATTTTTAATTTGAAACCTAAAGTGTTGAATGTTATTACTGTCGGTCGAACTATATCACCCTTTTTCCCCAACCTTCTAACAGCTTCTATGTTATAAGCTTCACGTGAAATTTTTATATATGTATTTATTATATTTATTACCATTTTTTCCAGTTCATCGTACGACTTTTCTTTCCCTTCTACGCAAAAAAGGATCAGATTTTTGCGCCTACACTGTCTTTCTAGGTTGCTAATTTTATTTGATTGTTCTTTTATTTTCTCCTCTAAAAGCTCATTTTTCAGTTCTAAATTATTGAACTTCTCGCTGAGGCTGTTGATTATCGTGCTTTTAATATCTTCCTTCATCTCCATCATGTCCTGTTTTTGCTGCTTTATATCTTGCTGCATGCTAATTAACATATTTTTTATTTCGTCCATATTTGGGTTTTAATGCGCTTTGCGCCCTCTATGGGAACAGGTAAGTACTTCTTGTCAAAGTAGCGATTGAGTTGTCTAAGCGTACTAATGTTGCGAGATATCAAAGTGGACGCTAAACTTGGACCTGGCTAGGAAGTTCTGATGGGTCCTATTAGATGGCGCTACTAGATACTTTGATCGATGATTTAGGAATGGAGATATTATGATTACTTAGCACTTTTGAGGTTATAATTTTTTGTGTTTTTGTTTTACTCACAGTTTTTATGTAATTCAAGTTTCCGTTTTGGCGTACACATGCTTCACTAATATTTTGTCCTTGAATAATGGTATGTTCTTGGTGCCTTAATGAATTTCTAGTGGCGTTTGATAAAACGATTTTGTGCACTTTTTTAAAAAAAAATTGTTGTATATATGCTATGCTTTATATATTGTTCGAAATAGTTTGAGCACTGATTTTATATTTAAATTTTTACACTTTGATTTGGAACACTTAAATAATTTTAAAACTTATTTAATAGCGAGTACGATATTGACAGTGCCACAGCGGCGCCCTCTTCGTAGTCTTATTTGTAGTGAACTAACTAATAATATACGGATGTTACACTGAGACATATAGTGAAAAATGATAGAATTCCTTTTTCTTTGCAATTAAAATTTCCTTGTAGAAAAACTACATAAAAATCGAGTCTTAGGTGCCCGAGGCTGTCTCGAACCCGTCACCTTTCTAAATCAGGGCATTTGCTTTAATCAACAATTGAGAAACCGAAACTTTTTAAAGCGTTTACTTTCTGACTAATGAGTTGAAGTAAAAAAAAAACACTAACAATAAAATACCTACCTGTTTGATGACTCTATTTAACAGCTTTTGATTATTTCTCGTCGCATTCGAAACAGAATTTCTCGATCTATACTAATAATATAAAGAAAAGATTTGATTGTTTGTTTGTTTGCATCAAATAGGTGTTGGAACTATTCGACCAATTTTAAAAAATACACCTCTTGGATGCTACACCATACATGATTGACATAGACTCTAATTTAAGCGGGCGATGTCGCGGGAACAGAGTACATAATAAAGTAATTCTACTTGACATTCTAATATAATTAGAAGCCTTACAAAGTTATTCATGTAATTCGAAGTCTTACCATCATCTATCCTTACGGACAGGTCAATACAATTTCAACTTAAAGCACTCAAAGTAAAGTTAGCGAGGCATTAGTGAAACCAGAACTTTGGTCGGATAGTTGCTTTTATTGGTTGAAGGTGTCTGTTACATTTATAATGTAAAGGAAATGTAGGTATAGGCATTTGTGTACAGATATCAGTTTAGATTTATTTACAAGAATAACGGTACGTTAAAGAAAACAATATAAAGTTCGTGAATGTTTAACTAACTTAACATACAAATGTCAAAATAAGGTTAAATATAAGGTATGAATAACTTAATCCGTCCGGAGGGAAACTTAAATTCCCAATCGGGTCAAGTTATATATATATATATAAAACCTACTTTAAAAGGTTTATGATTGAGTCTCTAATGCTGCGACAGAGCTATTTTTGACGTTTAAGTTTAGATACTAAAACTTTTTGTAAAAAAATTATTACGAATAATTATACTCTTAAAGATTTTACTTACAATTTCCGAGGAAAGTCTTTTCTATCAGCTTCGTTTTTAATAACTCCGATGCCAGCTTGCATCTTGTGAACTTAACACAATCACTTAAATATACACAGAAACACAAAACAATAATTAAATTCTTTTTCATACTTAAGAGAAGTAACTTTTTCATAAATAATATTGATGTATCGCTGGTGTCTGATGGAATAAGTTATATAATTAAAGTAAGTAGAAGCAAGGAAAATTATCAAATACTTCAGATATAAATAAGTAGTTTTAACCCACAGTCGTCGTCGTCGTTCCGAAGCTGATAAAAACACGTTTCAAATATTAATCTTATCGAATAAAAGAAACTGATTATATATTTATTTACTTGAAATAAAAGATGGACACATGACTTAACTACTTTCAAAACATTTTTAGAGTTACAATTTTCTTTTATTAAATAATCGAAAAGAGCCTTTGGAAAACAAAAACACCATAGACTAATCTGTATTACACCTGTTGTAGCAAATCCCTAGCAATATATTTTTGCCTTTTGTTCAAAAATATACTAAACCGCTAAAGAATTTCATTGAATTTGATATGATTTGGTAGTTTTTCTTCTTTTTTCATTTTTGAAGTTAATCTTAGTTTTAAAAACAACAAAATTATTAAATTATCGTCATTACTACCGAATTAGGCAAAACTTTACAAAAGCAACTAAAGTGGAAATTTGATTTTAAAAAATACATCATTGGCACCACGCTTTGAAATTAATATATAAATAATTAATTAATATATAATTTCCAAGCGTAGTGCCAATGATCTATTTTTTAAAATGTCTTACATACTTACATACAGGCGTTTTATTAAAAAAGAACAGTCATTAATTGTCCTATAAGTAAAGAAGTAAAGATTATTTATTGTTAAAAATATTGTTTTGTAATAATTAAACGTTGTTATGTAATTATATTTAAATAGCGCATTTTAACTCACCAATATCCTTTACGTTTCAATACCGTACAATAGACATTAAAGTTTAAATAATAAATTATTATACTTGTTCTTATAAGTATACAGAAACATACGTTTTGACATATTGCCACTTGAAATATTAGTACGTGACAACAAATTAAAATTTTAAGAGCCGCTGAGTCTATTTTAATTTTTAAGGATTATCTATTTTTTATTTGCACGTTAGCATTAGTGGGTTAAGCTTGAAGTTGATGATTCATTTATATAGAATTTTAATAGGAGGAAAATTTTAATCAACAATTGCTATATAAATAAGCACATAAGTATTATATCCTGACAACAAATTATTTACTTCTTATCAATATGTTGTTGTATTTACAACTGATTTGTTGTATATCTAATGAATTTACAAAGATTTTAAGAAACTGTTTATAACTGTCAAAAGAGTCATTCCATCACGTATGTAATGCTACTTTTACAACAATACCATATAACTATGTATATCACACGCAAAGTCTTTTTTTTTCTTAAAATATATTCTGTTTTATTATATGTTATGTTACTCAAGGGTTACTAAATATTTATAAAGGAACACCAGCCAAACACCTTTTATATTATGGAACCTCATATTAAATGATTAGTAATAAAAGACACTGTAATTTGCATCTGATAAAACTACAACGACATTTGAACAATAGTTGGCGTGCGCATAAAAGGTCTATTTTACCAACCCATTAATGATGCCTGGCAAAGAAAAAAAACTAACATTTTTATATTTATCTAATCTAGCCTTTACACTTCTGATTAGTACGGATAATATATTCTTACACTATTGATGTAACAATATATCCGTATTATTACATTATTATTATTAAAAGGGGCCTTTGTTTTATCCTTCTGTATAATTTTATATTAAATCAGTTTTTACACTTACGTATACTTAAAGATGGTGAAATTAGTTATTAATCATGATCTTAGATTACAACATTTGAATGCACTAATTAATTAATTAACATAACATAAACATTTTTTTTTGTAAGATTATTCAATACTTTGAAATTTGTTCTTTTTATAAGAGTCATAGTTCAATACTGTCACTCTTATAAAAAGAACAAATTTCAAATACAACGTAGAAAGGTTGTTTTTTCTTTACAAAGCTTTATAGTTCACTCCGATCGTTTAATGCAGTAGGTGAATTCCCTTTCATCTAATTAAAAGTTTTAATGCGATCGTCGAGCTTTGGAATTCCAAAGTGAAACACAAAGGAAGGAAGAACGATGATAGTGAGAATAATTGCTTGACGATTTTATACCCGGAGCTGAAATGATAAACTGACGATTTTAGCGGTTGATGTAGAAATAGACTTTTCTATATTTTCAAATTTCCATAATACAAGAGCCTTTGATCATGAATGTGATGTTGCATCTCTGAGGTTTGCCAATATAATGTAACGTCACATAGACTATAGTATGCGGAAAACTAATATGATTCTAATTATACCTCATTTGTCCAGTTATGATTAGTAGTTTCGAAGTTATAAGGGAAGAGATGAACATTCTTCATACATACCGGCCAAAATCATATCCCGCGTTTTCGGCGTCGTCGGGTAAAAACAAAGTCGCTTCCCGCTGTGTGTACGTTGAGATCTTTAAAACTACACAACGGCTTTTAATGTAGTTTCCATCAATATTCATAATGATTCAAGAGGAACAATTACACTATTATTAAGATGTGTAATTTGGAATTGCAACAAATAAGGTTTTCCTAATATTTTTCTGTATAAGAGTAAGAATTTGTTTGTGTCTTATAAGTGAAAAAACAGGTTTTTGTTATATCTTCGGAAAATATAAACCATTTTTACTTATAAATATTTAACAAAATAAATTTGAAGTTACTAATTTGGATAATATTACGCTTTGAAAGCTTGAAAAAAGTAAGAAAAATATATTACAAAAAAATTCTAAAATACTTAAGGCATTAAATTAGATTCATAAAATGTTACTCATTTAATTATAACAGCTCTAAAATAAACGCACTAATAACAAAGATTTTCGCGATTGAAGCACTGTGTGACGTCACCTAGTGCCTTCAATTTGAAGGGAGCGTTTTCGGCCGACTAGCAACAGTTCCACAAATATGGCACCATATCTCCGAATCTATTAATCGCAGACATGCTGTTACTTTTTTCATACGTTATTGGACTATTTATTTATGAAATAAAAAATTTTTAAAATCAGGGTCGCGTCTGTTATTTGTTGACCCTATAGGAACAAATTGTAGTAAGTGCATAAAATTTTATATGGCGATCATTACGATGAACTTTTAACAAGTTTTTTTTCTCTAAATAAATTCGTTAAACATATTGTCAAAAAAGTTTAAGTATTAATACAAAGTTTAATATTAAAAAATTATGTTCTAAAGAGTTTTAGAAGAATTTTATTTTAAATCATGGTTACTGACCCACAGCTCACAGAACTTGCATAAAATTCTATCCAATAAGTCATTCAGCCATATTTGAATGTAATTCTTCTTCGAATTTATGTGGCTTCCACGAGACTACATAATGCAAACGTACCAGAGTATAGGCAAAGAGGTTTTTCCTTTATAAAGATGTACGCAAAGAATAAATAAAACCAAATTTCAGATTACTTAATCAACTGTAGCAATCCACAGTTTCTCTATACTAAACAAGTAAAGTATGTAACTCTGTTTACGTTAAGGGGATAATCTTCGGAAGTACAGTTAGATCATGAAAATTCTTTCACTTATAGGAAGCTACATCATACGCGGTTACTAGAGTCTATAATTTACTACAGCGATGTAGCGGGAAAACAGTATGCTTATAACAAGAAAAATGATTAACTCTACGGATGATTTTATATAATAAATTCATAGTTTACACTGTATCTAATAATTTAAATATACGTAAAAGTAACGACGTCGCAAGAAGAGCCACCTTCATCACAACATTTTTTTCATTTTATTAGTTTAAGAGCACATTTTTCAAAAGGAAAAAAAAAACAGAGTTCCAATCCCATTCAATTCACCTTCGAACAATTGGAGAACGATCGGATTCACACATCGATTTTGTGTCAAAGCTGTCTCCGCAGTGGTACTCAAATCACTCCTGTACGAATACACGTTTGAGACGCAGATGCCATGCAATTACGCCTCGTTGTTATTCAGATAGTAACAATGCCGCATAGTTTCTATTGAGACAGATACAATCACAGATATAAGTCTCTTATCGGTTATCAGTTACGAGATTACTCTGTTGTGAGAAATATCTAACTATTACAACTCATTTATTCATCACACTTAAAAGAAATGTCATAATCTTGTTGTTCGTTTGATATATCTTTCTTAGAGTGTAAGGAGAACAAGAATGATGAACGTTTATCACAATTATTATGTAAATAGGATTAATTGATCATATTATAATTTGCTAAGCGATTTGGCCAAAATTCAATGCATACCATCAATGAAAATATTGCACCCATTTCTTGTCACTTAATATCTAAAATAGAGACGGCTTGCCAAATTGTCTCTTGCATACAAAGTAATAAAATACGCGGCACAGAAGTTGATGCTTTTTTATCGCTTTCAGATCTCGGTCATGTTATAATTAAATGTATAATGTTATAATTAAATTTTATATTAAAAAGCTTTTATTGTTAAAAAAAAATAACAATCGTATGTAAATTTTCAACATATTGCGATAAGAAACCTATTATTTTCTATTTACATTGTTACTCTTCCATAGTCAATGACGCCAACAGGCCGGCAATCAATAAATTAAAAGGTTAATATTTTAATGTTTAAAGGGTAAAACGAACATAATTTTCGCTTTTTATTTATTTATTTAGGTTTGCCAACATTTGTTTACAATTTTCCTTACTCAATTATTTACTAATTTCACCATTATTACCTAATTGTCACAAATTCTTAAAGGCAAACACAACATGCACCAATATGCACAACTACGACTTAAAAAAAAATACAAAAAACATCAATGTTTAGCCCATTGTGTTTGACCCTTTTTAAACCATAACATTTTCGACATTGTTTCTTAACTATCAAAATTAACGAGTATATAAATTAATTATAATTGATCATATTTGAATATAACAATTCTCCCTTTTCAATTCGACTTCATTCGATATAATGGGCTCTCCCAATATTGCCTGTGCCTTTGTGCCTATAAGGCCTGTGCGTTCACAGCAGTGGAGATGTCGTGGTTAGATCGTAGAATTTGATCACTTAATGATACGACCTGCTATTTAATGAAATGAACACTTTTCTTGAAACTGCCATCTGAAACTGATCATATCGTTTAAGCGTCAATGTTAAATGATGCAATCCACGTTTGGCTATCTAAAAAAAGAACTCTAATAATTTGCCGAAAAAGCTTAAATACATGAGCGTTATGCGATTTTTGTGGTCTGAAAAAATTTAATCGAACGCTTCTATTCGGGATCGTCTTAAACGTCTAACCTATTACATGTTTACAGTTTAGTAAATCATAAAGAAAGTTTAGTTCCGTTCATATCTAAAAACGTAGATAACCTGCTATAAAATTTTATCACCCTCCTGTCTTTTTCCGACACATCTCCGCACATACACTCCGATAATTATTTCACTTTAACTTAATCAAGTATTTATTAAGTTTAGTGAAATTGTTGTTATCGCTTAACTTGAATTATCATAATTTTATTTTTAATAAGATAATAATGAATCGTTTCGTATAATATAAATACCGCAACATGGTTATACATATATAAATTTAATAATAGTCACTTGATTTTCGTTGCCTGATTCGTTGATTATATTTATTATATTTGATTATATTCGTTGATAGTAGTAAATGAATATTTTATTTTAACCGTTTTCACATAAGAAAATCCATAAGGTTTTCTTAAATAAAGATAAAACTAAGATGAGGCAAAAATTAACTACGAAAACAAAATAAAAATCGACAATATTTTAAATACAAACATTGTGACAGCCAACTCCTCATGTTACACTCTAGAAATTCACCGGTAAGTCACTTTTTCGTATGAATTATACCTTATCCAGATGTTTTATAATACCACATTGGAATTACTTCAGGAGGAATCTAATTAAATTGTGTTTTTGCGAACGGCGTCGGCCGGAATGAATGTCAACCTTCGTTAAGATCGTTAAGGTCTGTGGGTCAACCTTTTACGTGACACAGATAATAGTTCCGTAGATCGAGAGCAGGGGTGTAGCAATCATAAGTGGGGCCGGGGATTAAATCGTGATAGTTACCGTTCAAACATTACATATATATACCTAGGATTTGACCAGCGAACCGTTAATCGCATTAACCGTTTAGACTAATAAATAAATATATTTGGTTAATCCTTCTATGAGATAATCCCAATACAATATGGAGTAACCGCAAACATTCTTAGTGGCAATCATTCTGTGTTCGGAGTTACATGTAATTATTTATGAACACTGCTGATTATTTATATTATATACAAGATATTTTCCCGCCAGTTCGGCTGCGTAAATTATATCACCAGCGTATGATGTAGCTTCCCGTAGGTGATAGAATTTTTAATACCAGTCTAGTACTTTCGAAGCCTATTCGATGCATATAAATAAACTAAAATATATATTATCAAATCTTTCCTCATTACAATATAACATAATAAATGTAA